TACCCCCCCCCCCCCCCCCCGTTATTTGAAATAAAATAAAATCTAAATAGTCAAAATACACGTCCTTATCCACAATAAGGACAAAATATTAATTTTTTCCCATTTAAGTACTAAAATGACTAAAACTGAAATTAAAATAAAGCTAAATAGAAATATTGTGTAAAAACAAACTAAATGAGCACATTACAAAATTACTCAAATTAAAAGGAAAACCGAAATATAAAAATAAAAGCCAATGAAAAATATTATAAAATACTATAATAGTATATAAATAACACCAAAGTAACACTGATTCAGTGAAATTAAGTGGAAATCCAGTAACAATGACGAGGAAAATTCAGTCACTTCTATTCATTTGATCATAATGAAATCCAGCAGTTATGTCGTTATGATAATTTATGAAGTCATAATGAAATCCAGTGATGATATCACAACAGGCACTAATGATTTCATAATGAATTGGTCTAAAGAATACATTGCACAAAGCTCAGTGGAAGACAATTCAAGATGGCAGATCAGTTCAAATGAAATGTCAACTATACTGTATCTAGCGTAGCATTAGTTCTGGCAGGTCACGTTAGTCAAGCTCGCATCAGCTGACTCTCAGCTGATCCCCATCAACCTATGGGAATACGACACCTATCTAAGCATTCATATATAAGGTCCCTCGGTATTATCAGCAGTTTTCGCATTGCTCAATAGCTAATTACCCTCCTCCATCCCCAGCTCCTCCTCTGTCAGTCAGGATTCAGCCTTCTGATTCTCCTTTGAATCAGACTAATTCTAAAATGTGTACATAACATTATTGAACTTTAACGATATCTGCAATACATTTATGTTGGTTCTGTTCCGTTTACCCTGGGGGGGGTTATTGCTGCTCTCCCTGCTCTCATCCATGCTAGGCTGCATGGATGCGCAGGGAGTTCTTGCCCAGAACAGAACCATACTGCCAATCCAAACTGTATGCTAATTGTCAATAATCTTTGACGATAGTAGTCCTGACAGAAATATGCTTTGTATATTTTATGTTCTACTGGAATTAATTGGTGTCCAGACTCATGTGCACTATATTTCATGAACATTATTTGTTTAGTGTTCAGAGTTTAGGGGTGTAACGGTACATGTATCGTGTACCAAACGGTTCACAGGCAAATTCCAAATGGAAGTGATCATCCCTATCCCCTTGGAGAGGGGACTTTTGGAGTGAGCAGGGCACATGCGTGCCATTGTGTAGTTGTTTGGAATGCACTTGGCAAAGGGAGTGATGTAATTTCTTAATTATCTTTATCCATTTGGAATTTGCCCGTGAACCGTTCGGTACCGATACTCCTACCGGCACACCCCTATCAGAGTTGCTATCTATTAAGAACAACTAATTAGTCACTAATGAGGTTTTATGTGGTTTAGGATGCTGTCTTAGTAGTCAGCTGCATATGACAGCAAGACAGCTTACTAGATTTTAGAACAGAGCCAAAGTGTATTTTTGGAGGTTAATGCTCTCACTGATAAATTAAAATAGAAATAAATCATACTGAGAGAGAGACAGAGACGTGTCAGTGTTTTTACCCATTCAGGTCTTGTCGTGTGGTGACGGCGAGTGAAGATCCATCTCGGCCTGGTCTGAGAAGCATGTTCCCACAGTCTGGATGTCTTTCTAACAGCACCTCAGCTTCAGTACGAGACACAGGCCTGAAACACCTGCCAAATAACACAGAAGCACAACTACATTAACATTTGTCTCAAGTATCCACTAAGAGTGCGATTATTCACATCAGTTAAGTATGCAGAAGATTTTGGTAAAGAAAGCCTACAAATGACAAGGATGATCTACAAATAGAGGTCAAAATAAAATAAAATGATCTAATCCCAGCCAAACACAGTTTTTAAGTATTGAGAAGTGATACCTTAGTAAGCAGTGTCATTTTAACAAGAACGTGGCAAAACATGACAATAGTAGCATATACAGTCTGTCAATAGATTTTAAAGTTCAACCCCAGTGCATATACCTCATAAAACATACATCTTTGGAAAAAAAATCCAAGTGAAGATAGGATCTCTAAAACATCACATATATTGGCTCAATTTAGTAGTTCTGTGAACTGACATATGAAATTAGTTTTACATTGTCTTTTTATTGCTGGGTAGGACACAATGTAAATCCATGAAATTTTGCGTCTGTTTTATCAGGCTGGCAAAAAGTACCAGCCCTACTTCTATAAGAGCAATATTAACAGTGATGTTTTAGCTATGCATAAACACTCAGACAGTCAAGAATGTCATCTATGAATCTTCTCCCCCAAACCCACTCGCTCAAATAAACAGATACTCACGCAGGTATTTCCCCCACCAGCGGGAGCGAGAGGGGGGACGAGGGGGCTCTGGAAGACACGCGTGCCTGTCGACGCATTTTTTCTTTCTCCACGACTTCTTTCAGCATGTGCAGCTGGCCGGGCAGGAGGGTGAGAGTCGTGGGCACAGCCAGCTGGAATCAAACCCAAAGCATATGTCATCCTAATCTGCACGGTTAAATATACAGTCCATAGTGACGCTTTATGCATGGGGACTCTGATCTCTTTATCTATGAAAACAAGTGAGCAGAATCTCTAAAGCAGTGTGTGGGAGGCGTTTTGGTGGTGTTGAACTAGAGCCAGTGGATATGATGCTGATAAATAGTTTTTATAACACCTGGTCATGTTTTATGATGGATGGAAAATCGACTTTATTATACATCTAAAGTCCAACAAAAACATTCATATAAACTGGTTTAAGTATAAAAAAGATAACATAAGTTCAAAATGTAACTTCTTGAGAAATCTGAAAAAACACATTCACAAAACTAGATTTAACAAAGTCTACAACAGTCTAAAAAATGAGCATAAAATAAAAAACAACTAATCTAAAATAGCCCATTATAATCCCACTACCCGTTTTCCCGAAAAGCTTTTGTTACATTCATACCAAATCCTTCCTAAACCAAAAGAAACAAAGGTATCTGTTGCATTGTTCAAACATGGTCATAAAACGCAAACCCTGCAGTTCAAAGGTCTGAGATCTCATTAACAAACTCAGAACAGCAGTATTATTCAAGACTATGTGCTAAAAAGAATAAGTCTGACCGGAATTTGTTGTTCTGCAGGAGAAGCTGTAAGTGTTTATTGACATACAAAACTTGACCTGCTTCTAGTGTGCAATAACAAAACACTAGCGCATTTAAACTAGCATTATGACCATTTATGTAAGGGCATAAACTCATCTGTGAGACTAACGAATATATGTCAACTTCTGTTAAAAAACATTTCCTCATTTGATTGAACGTACATCTACGACAGAGTAGAGAAAACCTTTCCACAGCTCACGCGCCTCCAGATTTGGAGCCTGAGAAGAAAGAGAGAGACATTGACATTAATTATATTATAATTAATAACTATAACTCAATGCAATATGTCCTTACACTACTGCACTGCATTAGAGACATGCAATATCTCACAGTCAGTTAGATCTCCATTCACATTTATTGATTTAATCAATAGTTTTATTCAGCAAGGATGCATTAAATTGATCAAAAGTGACAGTTTTGAGTTGGTAATCTTTATATAATTAATCACTCTAGTAGACCTCTGATCGGCCCTAATTCTGAATGCATAATCAACAGCTGATAGTGATCCTACACTGTACAGTAAGTGCTGTTTAGTCTTGACCTGACCATAATATGACCTAGAGCTGTGTGGAAGTGTTATAACTGGCATCAGATGTGGTGAGCACAAACATGAGTAAAATAGTGGCCTGTGAAAGCGAAACTCTCTAGAGTGTGCCAAAGGTAAATTCCATATGGAGATGTTTGTGAAGACTGAAAGACCCACATTTGCTCATATATAGTGAGTGAAGGTTGAGATGTGCAGTGTGTCTGACCAAGCATTCAAACTGGAGCTTATCGTTTTAAGAAAACTTTTGCCATTCAGTGTGCAGTACACATCAGATGGTTTGTGTGTGCGAGACTGAGTTTAAGTGCATGAGAGGAATGAGATGCATGCATACTGATACTCACAGTGAGTTTGATTTCTCCATCCTTCATGCGGAGATTCAGTCTGGCTGCCTCCAGATTTCGATCACGACTTGGGTCATCGATCAGAGACACAAACCCACTCAGATCCAACTTCTCTACATACTAATCAGAAAACACACATATGAAGAGAGACATTTAAAGGAACAGTTTACCCAAAAATGCCTTTCCAACCCTGACTGATTTCTGTGAAACACACAAAAAATAAAGATTTTCTAATGTCTATCATTTAATTTTTTTAATAATAATAAATTATATTAATAAATATTTATAAAAACAAATTAAATTTGAATAATAATAATACAAATGGTAATATAGTTTTGTATTATTTAAATAAAATTTTTTACAAATTATGTATTATATTATTAATAGCAGTTTACAGAACACAGTAAAATTACAATACTAATATGTATGGCTGTCTTAATTTCTTTGCTTATAAATGTTAAAGGGGTCATATGACGCGATTTCAATTTTTCCTTTCTCTTTGGAGTGTTACAAGCTCTTGGTGCATAAAGAAGATCTCTAAAGTTGCAAAGACTAAAGTCTCAAATCCAAAGAGATATTCTTTTGTGGATCGCCGGATCGACTTTCACAGTGGATGAAGCGGAGTCCAGCCCGGGGTTGTCACATGTGGTTGCCTCAGTGGCAGCTCATGGCTCACACACACACACACAACAGTCCGGAGCACAGCTGTCCTAAATCTGAGACCCACCCCCCTACACACGGTGCACCTGAACCCCTCTGAATATTCCCTCCTGAATATGCGATTCGGTATTAATTTGTGTAAGTGGCCCTCTTTGTCAACACATTTATGCTTTGGGTAATGTTTTTGCATACTGTCTACAGTGTATATAAATAAAATTAGAAAATACAATGTAATATAATAGAAAAATGTATTTGGTTACTTTAAGGGAAGATTCAATTTTATTCATACTCACAAAGTACATTGTATCGTTTAGTAAATATTATTGCATATTCAGAGTTTTACACTTTCTAAAGTATGCATACCTATCTATCCGGAGAAAATATAATGCACTATAATAGAACAATTTAATTTAGTTACTCAAAAAATATTTCAGTGACAAAAATAATACACATAATAAAATCCAGATCAATGCAAAATGCTGATACTATTATCTAAAAAGCATATTTTTATGGACGATATAATGCTGGTCAATAAAATTAAACACATATTTTGTTTATCAGTATTAACTAAAATTTGCATTATGCATCGGCAGTAAGGTCGGTATGTTAAAGATTTCTAACCTGCGGTATTTATTAACCATATTAATAACTTTTGTGTCTCAAAGTTACATAAAAACAGAATCTGCAAATGTGCACTTTGGTAAAAGTCAAAAGACTGTCAAAAGACTGGAAGATCATATTAGGCTAAATGACAATTGACAAGCTTAAACTGTCTGCAGCAGATAACAAAATACTCAGTTCTGCATGTAACATGATAGATGCAATGCAGCAAGAGAGATGCATCTCACTCCAATGTCTGGGGATGAATGAATTAATGAATGCTTGAGGATTAAAACACGTGATGGATCATATTAATAATCACACACTTCCGATTGCATGTGGTCTGTATTAAGGTGTGTCCATTACCAGAGCACCTGCCGAAAATGTAAAGCACCAACAGACATAAATAACGGCATTTAAAGAGCTGCCAGACAGCGGCATAAAGCATGGCACAAGCTCATAGAATTAAAATGTACAATCAACATTTGAGTGGTCACTTGGCAAACGAAATAATATCCATGCAAACCTCGCCCATATCCACACAATACGCGCGTGCAGCATATGCCATGCGTATGATACGCCGCTGCGCGTGATGATATAATCGGAGCAAGTGTTTGACACGTAATAACAGCCGCTTACCTTCTCTTTCGCTCCTCTTTTCTCCAGGTATCCCTCGTAATAGCAGGGCGGCAGCTGCGCTCTCGGGCTCCCGGTGCGCGGGTTCGCGGGCGCCGCTGCCATGACTCGAGCAGCTCAGCCCGGTACTGACACTGACACACACACACACACACACACACACACACACAGTAGCGGGACAAAGAGCAGCTGGATGATGTTACTGGCTGCCCGGGAAACGACACGCCTTCTGTGGGTGAGAGATGGATGGCATTCAGCTGCACAAGCGCCGCACACCCGAGACAGTCAGTATGGCATCTGTGATTACATTATGACCCGCAGGCAGAAATCTCTCCTTTATTTGCTGGAAAGTATAATTGTAAGGTTATAATACTGCTCGTATATTAATGTCTATTTCGAAGATAAGAGTTAATTCTACTGTAATTCAGTTAGAGCTGTAGGTTAATAAAGTACATCATAAATAATATTATACATTATATAATAATAGAATTTACTAGAAATATAATTATAAAAGCTATGATATAGGCTAAACATTACGTTAACAACTTTTATACTATAAATAACATTGTTGTATTAATAACAATGTTTATATAAACTCTTTTTCAGGTGTTACGATACACAAAATTATAAAACAGCCTATATAAATTACAGAACAGTATGATGTTGCTCTAATATTTAAAGGGGTCATATGATGTTGCTAAAAAGAACATTATTTTGTGTATTTGGTGTAATGAAATGTGTTTATGCGGTTAAAGGTGTTTCAAAAAACACATAATTTTCCACATACTGTACATTATTGTTTCTCCTCTATGCCCCGCCTTTCTGAAACACGTCGATTTTTACAAAGCTCATCGGTCTGAAAAGCGAGGTGTGCTCTGATTGGCCAGCTATCCAGTGTGTTGTGGTTGGCTGAATTCCTCAAGTGTGTGACAGAAATGTTACGTCTCTTACCATACTGTGATGCCTGCGGCAACCACATGTGACGACCCCGGGCTGGACTCCGCTTCGTCCACGGTGAAAGCAGATCCGGCGATCCACAGCGCAAAGTTGATGTATTTCCTCAGTGACCAGCACGGATCAGCTCCAGGCATGACGAAGCAGATATCGTCCTCTTTTGGAAGACCAAACAAAGTAGTTTCGCTTTCACAACGAATCACACAGCATCTTCACGACATGGCGGTGGCAGCAACAACAATACTACAGCGAGAATAAAAGTTACGCCTTCTTTCTTTGCGTGAACATTTGGGTGGTGTTATGCAAATCTTCCCACATAGTGATGTAGATATGTGGGGGCGTGTTAGAACGAGCCGTTTTAGGAGGGCGCGGCTGACTCTTAACTTTTATAAAGAATATCTCTTTGGATTTGAGACTTTAGTCTTTGCAACTTTACAGATCTTCTTTATGGACCAAGAGCTTGTAACACTCCAAAGAGAAAGGAAAAATTGAAATCGCGTCATATGACCCCTTTAACAAAATGGATATTATTCAAACATTTATTATTATCATTAAATGTTAAATAACTTAAGCTATACCATATATATATATATAAATATTTATTATCCCACAATATTCCAGATCACATTGATTCCTACTGAAATGACTGAATTTCGCTCGTGAAATTTCATCAAACAAGGGTAAATATGACTGCACCTTTAATGTGATTATGAATGTGATATTTCAGTTCAATAAACTGAAATCAAGTATTGTACATTTTAGACAAAAAGTGCTCAGTTAATTTGTGTATTTCTTCACCACCAAAGAAGCTTAAAGGGATAGTTCACCCAAACATTCTGTCATCATTTGCTCCCCCTCATGTGTTTGTTTCTTCTGCTGAACACCAAAGAAGATATTTTGAAGAATGTTAGTAACCAAACCATTGACTTCCATAGTGTGGAGAAAAGAATAAGAAAAAAATAAAACATTAAATTGAATGGGTACCAACAGCTGTTTGGTTACCAACATTCTTCAAAATATCTTCTTTGGTGTTCAGCAGAAAAAAAAAAAACTCATACAGGTTTTGAAAAACATGAGGTTAGTAAATGATGACAATTTTCATTTTTTGGTTGAACGATTCCTTTAACGTGCCATTCCAGCGACGCGAAACCTGAGATATATTGAGTGGAGCAAAAATAAATAAAATAATAAATGAACACCTCACTACCGAAAGCATTCTGTAATTACTCAACTCCAGCTCCAGTCCATTATTTCTACTTCCCGTTCACGCTCGCCAGTGAGAGAAACCCACTCAAAGTGATCACTGACCAAGAGAAAACACAGACAGCTATAGTTTTCCACCTTTATTTAAAATGAATTTTATAACAAAACATAAATCACAAATGGATTACACAGCGAATACTGATTCAAAGACGCATTCTTTCAGAAACGCTTTCTAAAACACATGATTTCGATTTGAGCTCTAACAATGTTAACCAGGTGTTAATAAGAGGCACAAACAAGGTTTTCCATTACATATAATACATTCTACCCATAATAGAATATTATTACTTTTAAGTGTAGTGTAAGCAACATCAGAGGGCATGCAAGATGTTGAGAGTACAGTACTACATTGCAAGGTAAAATAGTTACCAGAGCAAGACCCGAACCCGAAACCTAGGACCAGCATCCCTCACCCGAAACACAATGACGTTTATACTTCACAAAAACTCATCACACTGGTTCCTTTTGGGATTAAACAACTGAACGACATGAAATCAGATCTGCTGACTAACATAAATGTAATCACATAAGGAGTAAAAAGTCACATCGAAGGAGGTGATGGCTCAAATCTTGCTTTCGGAGCATGCCGTGGTATATCCTTATCCACGTTGACCTATTAGTACCAATTATTATGATGCACAACATTGAACATCACACTTTCCAACAGCTCTGATTTTCGACTTTTTTTACTACAGTAACTCTAGACAGATTACAGCTTGATCCTAATTTTCACGATTCCCTTGCCAAGAATTCCATTTCAAAATCTGAAATATAATCCGATCCAAAATGCTAGATAGTCTAAACCAGTCCAATCTCTCCTTTTGGCATCTAGAACTACTGAGCATGACTATCATTCTAAGAAAAAAATTTGGAAGTATGTACTTGATATTTGCAGTGATTACAGACTGTATCTTCAAAATCAAAAAGTACACAAACAGTGGAGTAATATCATTATTGCAATGAGAAGACTAGCAAAATTCACAAATACAAAGATATAGGAGCCATGTAAACATTGATTTGGTACAATTTATGCAAGGCAACAAATTTCAATTTTGAATGAAGATGTTGAGTCCCAATGAGTCTATCTATACAGCAGGACTACAGCAGACAAACCTTTTCCCTGAGAAATAGAAACTGAACCAAGATCAGTGGTTAGAGGAACCTCGGATTTCCCTCTTTGAGGAAGTGAAACGGATTAAAGCTATAATAATCCAAAAGGCAAACGATCACAAAAGTGGTTCACGCACTTAATTTCCCTTTTCAAGAACTCAACATCCATGTGGAACTCTAATATCTGTAAGCTGAGGTTTTTGAGTGCGTGTGTGTGGCCCACTACAGTTCTCAGAAACACAAGTACAGTGCAGAAGTGGATTTGTAAAGGTTCCCTTTTCCAGAAGAGAGAGCGAGGGATAGTATCATGCGGAAAAATAAAAGTAAAAATGACTGTTGTGTACATAAACACATACTGGTACTTCTAGTTCGTCGAACAGCTGGATTGACCTCATTTACATATTCATTTAAAACAGAATTTGCAAGCAGGAAGTGATCATTGTAAAAAATGTATTTAAAGTTTTATTTACTCACCCATGTCACTCAAAACCATACGACTCAACAAAATCAAACTGGATGTGTGTGAAACTAAAAGATTCTATTTTTGAGTAAACTATCCCGGTTGATGCTCATGCAAAGACACCGTTTTATTTTTGTTGACCTCCCTTTTTGTTTTGTTGTGAGTCAACTCTATTAATGCACAGCTAAAGTGCATTTAAAGGGATAGTTCACCCAAAATCGTCATCATTTGCTCACCCTCCACTTGTCCCAAACCTGTATGAATTTCTTTCTTCTGCTGAACACAAAAGAAGATATTTGAAGAATGTTGGTAACCAAACACTTGATGGTACCCATTGACTTCCATAGTATTTTTTTTCCCCATCATATGGAATTCAGTGGCTACTGTCAACTGTTTGGTTGCCAGCATTCTTTTCGAAATATCTTCTTTTGTGTTCAGCAGAAGAAAGACATTCATACAGGTTTGCAACAACGTAAAGGTGAGTAAATGATGACAGAACTTTCATTTTTGGGTGAACTGTCCCTTTAAGGGAAATAAAACAAACCCAGTACAACTAAAGCCAATGGGAAAGGGTTAGTTAATCAATCACGAGATTCAAATGAACAACTGCATTATAAAGTAAAATAAGTTGTATTCAAACACATTGAGCTTTGCGCCATTCGGAAAGAGCCGAACTGTGATTGACAAATGCTAGGCAGCATTTTGAGGTGTTATACACAACTGTGACCACTAGAGGTCCGTGATTACCAACAGAAGACACTTCTTTGTAACATCATTATAGGAAACTGATATGAAAATAAAATCCATTTGACTCTAGAATGAACACTCCCGAAATTGATTTATCTTTGACATACTTCTCAATTATGTTTATTGTACTTTGGGGAATGCTAGAGTTTCCTAAGATGAACTAAAACGCTGGACCTGAAGCCTAAGTAACAAATAATAATCCAGACTCCTACTGTATGTTATCCAACATTTCTTTCAGGAGGTCAAAGTGCTCATAGTGAAGTCACAGATTTCCCCCTTTTCCCTGTCCTGTACCTGACATTGCACTTCCTCTTCCTGTTTTGTGTGGGATCAGTGCCGCAGCGGCACCATCACCTCTACGTAGTTAGAGGGGAACAATCCGGTCTGGCCGCGCAGGGTTCCCTCGAACCAGTTCTCATCTATTTGATTGGTCAGCGTGATGACGTCGCCCTCGCAGAAGCCAAGCTCTCCGTCGTTCTCCGCTTCAAAGTCGTACAATGCCTTGCAGCATGGCTGATCTGTCACTATGGAGACGGAAGATTGCATTAGAATAGAGCAGATAAAAGGTGAAGATGCACAGAGAGAGGGAGGAAAA